TTGCCCCCTTTTTTTCTCCTTCACGCGCACCCTCTACTCACCGCATAGACGGAATTCGGCCCCCCTGACAAAATAATCCCTACCACCTGATTTTTCCGCAAGACTTCGCCTTTCACCAGGCAGGAATACAGCTCGCAAAACACATGCAGCTCACGCACCCGCCGGGCAATCAGATGGGAGTACTGGGAGCCAAAATCCAAAATGGCGATCTGCGGCCGGTCAACATGGAGTTGTCCGTCCATGCGAGCGGAAGAGGGCAGGCGGGCAGGGAATCTGAAACACAGAGGTGCAAGGAAGGAGGAGGGGGGAGAGGTGGATAAGACGGGTGACGTACGGGACGCTAACGCAAAGAGGCAGCTTCGCCCAGGTGTGTTGGCGTCGGATCTTTTGTAGCTGGTAGAATAAGAAAGGACGGTGGCGATTGATGCTTGGATCAATGAAGGGGAGGCAAGCATCCCGTGCCTGAAGAGGTTCAACCATGATCGTCGTCATACGCAAAGAATTGTCCGGGACAAACGACATCATAACGACTCTCCTGGCTTTGCACACGCTGCCTCGCACCATCCAAGGACGTAGAGGACATAGTTGGTGATATAATGTGTCTTGGAAAGAATAGGTATTTCCTCAGCATCAGGAGCTTGGGGTGATACCCCCTGAAACGACGGTCATCAGCTACTTCCCCTTTCTTTTCCCCAAAACACCCACAAAACCCCACGCACAAAGCATGCACGTACGCTCGCCATCATCCGTGACGTCCCTGAGGGTTTTCAGCAGGCACAAGTGGGCAAGGTCGTGCATGAAATTGCCCGCTTCGAGTGGGCACGACCACGGTGGAACAACAGCCGCGGGGATTTCCGAGGCAAGTCAGGACGTTCGCTAATCGACCCGTTCGCCCTTGCGTTTTTTAGTTTTAGGGGGGAAAAGCCGGAAAAAAAACACACATATACCAAGGATCATGCCAGGACAGGGAGGAAGGGACCGTGTGAAGTAAAATATGGCCTTGTGAAGTGTCAAATCACCTTGCCAACCCATTCTCGACCGCGCGGACTGAAGAGCATCTCGTAGATCCAAAAAATGACCCCGCGCACTGAAAAAGTCATTCCATGCACTCAAATACGGCCCTTCCAATACGAAAAATGGCCATGCAACATCGAACGACATATCAAGCCTCTGTATTGTTCGCTGTCGATGCGTTTGTTTTTTAAAGAGGCCTGGCGACAGTGAAAGTCAACAAGGCAAGGTCCATGTTGGTTTGCTGTGGCTTCCCCACACTATGGTGGTCACGCACCGTGTGGAGAGAAAGCGGCGAGGAATACTGTTGATGACAGAATGGCAGAAAAGTGACGTCTGTACGCCTTTGGGAGACAACTCTTGATGGAGGCCACGCTTTCCCCTTACATAGAAAAAAAGAAAAAAATCTCGGCGGTATTCAGCACGGAGAGATGTCGAGCATGGTGATCAAGCCATGATGCCAGCCAGAAAAGGCCTTCGATGGCGTGAACATCTCGATTGGCATTATTTTGGGAGGTCGCTTTCTGCCTTATATGACAACAAAGGCCGTGACCTCTGCAAGCGAAGAGGCGTCGGTATTGTCACGGCATGCGAGGCACACAACATCAAGAGACTCTTCGGCTCAGTGAACGTACATTTCACTTTAACCGCTTCCATGCGCAGCGGGGTCATCAGAGAGCCCTTGTGTATCTCCCACGTCCCTGCCCTGTGGCCCAAGTCCCTTTTTTCTCCTCTGTTTCCGTCGGGCGCTCATGCCTTGGGAGACCCTCCCTCCCCTTCTCCCCTCCCTCCAAAGCCCAAGTACTCCCTTCATTTACAGCCAGCACTTTCCTTCGTGGGGGCCTGTGTGACCGGGTTTGTTCCCTTCAGCGTCGGATTCTTGCAGAGCTCCCTCAAGTTAAATTCTCCCATGTACGTGTCGGTGAAATCGCTGTCCGTTAAATCCGCGCCGACAAAGGAGGTACCGGAGAGCACAGCGTTGCTAAAAATGGAGCCCTGCCGGTCAGGGGTGGTGCTCTATGCGTCAGCCATGCATGGTAAAGCACTCGTCCCTTGGACAACGGCCATCCGGTCAAGTCCGGCGTGCCAGATTCTTCCCTTCTTCCCCTCCCCTCCCTCGATCCCTCCCTCCCTCCGTACCTTCAGGTTCGACCCGTCGAACGAGACACGATCGACGACCGCGTTACTGAAATCTGCGCCTTCGAAATCTGCAGCCTGGAGGTTCCCAAAACAAGAGCGGGTAAGGCCAGAGGAAAGGAAGGGGGG